ATTACATTTATTTATTGTGTGTGTGTGTGTGTGTGTGTGTGGCCAGCTCAGTCCACCAGGGGGCGGGGCTGGCTGGCATGTGGTGCTGGAGGATCGAACCAAGGTCCCTGTGCTTTGCCAAGCTTGTTTCAAGTAGGTGCTTTAGACCACTGAGCCATCTCTCCAGCCCCTCAGGGAGACTCTTGATGGAAATGGAAATGGAAATGGAAATGGCTTGTTCCTACTGCAGTTTGCTTCCAGAGAGACCCAGTGCCTTTTGACACTGGGCAGGGCAGGGCTTTCCTTATTTCTCTCATCTTTCCCATAGGAAACTCATTCCCAATATTTACCCTTTCCCTGGAGTCCTAGAGAGAAACAGAATTCTGACCCATACTGTGATCCCTTGTAACTGCAGGTCTTCAATGTGCTCACTTTCAAATTTGAAAGACCCAGGTGGAAATAGTCTTACTATGTTGATGATCTACAAAATACCTGAATTCAACACTGTATAAGTGACTTTTTCTTTCTGTGTCTTTAATCTGGTTTCGTTTTTATTTATTTATTTATTTATTTTTTGCAGAACCAGATATTGAATTCAGGCCCTTGTGCTTGCCAGGGAAGCATTTATTCTACTGAGCCATTTCCCCGGCCTCTGGTTTCATTTTGTAATATAGAACATCTAACTTTGTGAGGGGGGATAATAAGTGGTTTTTGTAAAAAAAAAAAAAATTGTCAAGATGCATCATTAATCAAAATAAACACACTGTTGGAGAAGGAAATGATTGGATTGGATTTTTAAAGTACTCTAGCCTTGTATAATGTTTATTAGAAACACAGCAAAAAATATAAAAGTGGAGAAGATAAAAGAAAAATGAAAAAGATATACATGGACTATACATACGAAAATGGCTAGTGGGGGACTTTACAAAGAATCAAAGTGGGCTGTGTACATGTATATGTGTTCCAATTCCCCATGATGAATGAAATCATTATATTCTGCAAATACATACTAATAAAAATAGTACTTTAAAAGTTTAATTTTGAGGGAAAAAAGTCTTGTACCTACCTTTGCCCCCTAAACCTATTAGGTTTGTTGTTGTTGTTTTAATGTATTTGGTACATAGTCTCACTCTGCAGCTTGGCCTCATAGTGATCAGGCTCAGTGCCTGGGCAGAGCCGGTGCTAGTGTTTGTTTATAAAGCTTCAAAATGTATAAAACCCAAACTGGAAGAATTTCAAGGAGAAAGTGATAAAGCCACTATCATAGCAATTTTTTTTTTGTTTTTGTTTTTTGAGACAGGGTGTCACTGTATAGTTCAGATTGGCCTTGAACTCACAGTGATCCTCCTGCCTCAGTCTCTCAAATGCTGGGATTATAAGTGTGCACCATCATACGCAGGTCTGTTTTGTTTTGGGATGAAGTCTTGCTTTTCAGCTCTTGGAGTCAAGAGATCCTTCTTCCTCAGCCTCCTGAGTAGTTTGAAACTACAGTCTGCAGCAGAAATTTTAACTTTCTTAGTAATTTATAAATCAAGTAGACAAAATGTTAGAAAGGTACAGAATATTTGATCAACATGATTAACAAGATATATATGTACCTTATATATGAATTGCTAGATGCAAGGATACGTATCCACATCTAATAATTATGTAAAGGTAAGAGAGCTTAAAAAATAGGCCAGATACAAGGACACAAACACAGTCTTCAAAAATATCCCCAAAATAGCTCTACTGCTCAGACTGTCTTTCTTTTTGTTTTCCCCTGTATTTTAGAGAAGGGTCTACAGAGTGTGCAGGGTCTCACTACTAGATCTGACTGTAGTGATCCTCCTGTTTACAGCCTCCCAAGTGCTGGGATTACAGGTGCGCACCACCACTCCCAGTCTCAATCACGGCAGGTCCGGGGATCAAACCCTTGGCCCCTGCACCTGCTTGAAGGCGCTTAAATCTGCTGAGCTATTTTGCCGACCCTTTGGACTGTCTTTCTTGACCATAACATAATAAAATATCAGTACTGAATAATAGCCCACAACAAAACAGAATATACTTAAAAAATTAACATGTTCTTTAGAAATTTCCTAGCCAAAATATATAATTGATATTAGGACAAAACAAAATTTAAAATATTACTTATTAACACATAAGGGTCATGACTCAAGTGGTAATTGGCAATGTCTAGCTTTAAACACATATGGAGAATTAAAAGAAACACTAAAAATAAAAGTGTCCAGGTCAATAAAGTTAGCAAAAGAACCCTAACAAAGCCCCAAAATAGAAAATAAACATAATGGGATTCAATGATAGAAAATGAAAAGTTGAATTTTTTTATTTTAATTTTTTTTGTATTTGGTACAGGGTCTCACTACACAGTTCAGACACCTAGTGATTCTCCTGTTTCAGCCTCCCCTGGGAGGGGATTACAGGCATGTGTGAACCCAGGTCCTTGTGCTTGCCTAGGCAGGTTGCTTGACTTCTGAGTTACCCCCCCACACCTCTGCTTGTTTTGAGACAGGGTCTCACTCTGCAGTTCAGGCCAGCCTTGAGCTCACTTTGTAGCCCAGGTTGGTCTTGAACTTGCAGAGGTCCTCCTGCCTCAACACCCCTGGCGCTGGAATGATAGAAGCATGCCACCACTTGACTCTTTATAAGATTCTTTGTCCCAAGGGAAGGGAAGAAGAACAGAAAGGACTTCTGTTGAGAGTGGCCTTGCCTCCCAGGAGCTGGGGTATGAGGGAGGGAAGTTTGGGCAGGACATGCCTGGGGTTATTTTCAACAACAAAAGGGGCACAAACACTCCTTCATCTGCCAGAGGATGTCCTTGTGTGAGTGCTCCCAGGTATTATTTTGTTGTCTGCTGGGGGACTGCTGAAGTCTGGAATTAATTCACATGTGCCAGGCACTGTGCACAACCCTGGCTTGTCATCACCAGCTGAGGCCAGAGACCACTGTTTGGTTGCTGGTTGGTGAGTTGACATTTTCTCCTCAAAGGTTCATCAACGAAGGGGCAGGTCGGAGGGAGTGGCAGTGTCACTACCAGGCTGGTTGCCTATAAGGCTAAAGGGCACCCAAGAGGGCCCAGCTGGGAAGGGTAAGTGGAGGGCTTTGGGTCCAACCAGGCCCATAGGCAAGCCCAAGGGTGGAGTGGAGGCCAGTGCCAGTCTGCAGCCCTCTCAGTGGTGGGTAACCCTCCCCCAGGGCCATCAGGTAGAGGGTGGGATGAGGCCTCGGTGAGGGAAAGAGAAAGCTGGGCAGGAAGCTGGTGGAGACCAGGCTGGGAAGCACTAGTTTCCTCTGCGCTGGACTGCAGGAAACCCAGCCCTGCTTCCCAAGCTGCTTCCTGCAGATAAAGCAGCCTTGATGGCCTCTTCCTGTTCCCTGCCTCCCCCCACCCTGTCCCAGCTCCTAGGGGACCCTCTGCTGAACCTCTGCCCAGGCCACTGGCCTTGGAGGGGGTTGGGGGCTTAACTTCCGGGTGGGAGGGTGCACCTAGTCTTGAGGCCAGGCTGGCCAGACCCACAGGCAGCTTGGCCTGAGACGCAGCTCCAGCAGGTCAGTGGTGGTCCAGGCCCCAAGAGTTCTAGGACACAGATATCAGTGGTGGCGGAGGAGTGGGGTGGTGTGTAAAGGTGGCCCTGGAAGGGACCCTGCTGTGACGCTGGGCTGGGGGCTCATCAGGTGGACCTGTGGGGAGTTGGGCTGTTCTTGGCTGTATGGTTCCATCAGGGGGTTTCCGTGTATCTGGGGCCCAGACCCTTCAAGGTTATTCCAGGGAACCTCAGGACCCACCAGATTTGGGGGGCTCAGGGCGGATGTGGAAAGCATGGAAGACCCGGGCTTTGCTCTTGAGGGTGACCCAGGGTGCAGCAGGGCTCTTTGGGGCACCAGGGTACGTGGAGTGCAGGAAGTGGACTCGGCTGGGGCTGCACGATCCCCACGGGCGGGCGCCGCTGTGCTCGTTTCCTCACCAAGCTCCCCTTCTCCGCCTACTCGTCACCCCCTCCGCGTTGCCACGACAACGCGTGAAACTAAAATTCACTTACCCGTAGCAGGTGGAGACTAGTGGCGCCCCCTCCCCAAACTCTTCCTCAAAGGTCGTGCTCCCACCTTGTCGCGGGGGTGATGGGGAGGGGGTGACCGTGACCGGGTCGCGCCGACAGGGGTCCTGGGGGCGCCGAGGGAGCAGACCAGGGTTGGGCGCCAACTCCCCAAACTCGGCCGCGGTGGGCGTGCGGGGCCGCGCTGGGCGCGGCTGCAAGGACCTATTTGGGGGTGTTCTCGCTGCGGGCCCAGCCCCTACACGGTCCGGTCCAGAGTCCGCGTCCTCGGACCCCAGGGTGGGGCGAGGGCGACTCCTCGGACCCCAGGGTGGGGCAAGGGCGACTCCATCATCTCCCCTGGGCCTGGGGTGGGGGTCGGCAGAATGGGGTGCGGCCAACACCCACGGAAAAATTAATTGTCCTGCTTGTCTCTCTCCCGCCTGGCGGCCGCCCCTACGCCCCAACGTGACCCCCTCCCCAGCTCTAGGATCCACCGCCGCCGCTCTAGCCGGTGGTCCGCGACCTCGCCCTCAGCCAAGGCGGCTCGGCCCGGCGTGCGGCCACTCCCCCTGCTGCCCCGCGCCCCCGCTCGGCGACCCCACCCCGGCGCCCCGAGTCAGCTCGCCTGCCGGGACCCCCGCCCCC